TTTCCCCAGATCCGGATGATGCGCAAGCCAGGCCGGGCTGACACAGTTTGGGTTATTTCTCACACGTTTTTGAGCTGTTTTTCCCTGTTTATTTGGATATATTTCCTCACAGATTTTTGAGCCATTTCCTCAGTGATTTTTCAGCCATTTTCTCACGGATTTTTGAGCTGTTTTTCTGTGGTTTTTGGGTAATTTCTCACAGATTTTTGTTATTTTCCCCAGATCCGGATGATGCGCGAGCCGGGCCGGGCTGACACATTTTGGGTCATTTCCTCACACGTTTTTGGGTTATTCCTCACAGATTTTTCAGCCATTTCCTCAGTGATTTTTCAGCCATTTTCTCACGGATTTTTGAGCTGTTTTTCTGTGGTTTTTGGGTAATTTCTCACAGATTTTTGTTATTTCCCCCAGATCCGGATGATGCGCAAGCCGGGGCGCGCCGAGCGCACGGCCGTGGTGGTGGGCACGGTCACCGACGACGTTCGCATCCAGGACGTGCCCAAGCTCAAGGTGCCGCGGGGCCGGGGCAAAACCCGGGGCTTTGGGGCAAAAATCGGCGATTTTGGGCAAATTTGGGGATTTTTGGGCAAAATCCAGGAATTTTGGATTAAAATGAGAGAATTTTCGGGGGAAATTGGGGATTTTGGGGGCAAAATTGGCAATTTTGGAGCAAAATCTGGGGATTTCGGGGCCAAAATCTGAGTTTTGGGGGAAATCCGAGGATTTGGGGAAATTCTGGGGATTTGGGGGGAAATTCGGGAGTTTTGGGGAGAAAATTCACGGATTTTGGAGCAAAAACCAGGGATTTGGGTGAAAATCTGGGGATTTGGGGGGAAATTCGGGGATTTTGGGTGAAAATCTGGGGATTTGGGGGGAAATCTGGGAGTTTTGGGGAGAAAATCCAGGGATTTTGGAGCAAAAACCAGGGATTTGGGTGAAAATCTGGGGATTTGGGTGAAAATCTGGGGATTTGGGGGGAAATCTGGGGATTTGGGGTGAAATTCAGGGATTTTGGGGGAAAATCTGAGAGTTTTGGGGCTAATTTGGGGATTTTGGGACAAAATTTGAGAATTTTAGGGAATTTTGGGGCAAAATACAGAAATTTTGGGCAAAATCCCAGGAATTTTGGGGGCAAAATCTGGGAATTTTGGACTAAAATAGGGAAATTTTGGGTTGATTTCCCGTGGTTCTGGGGGTGGTTTTGGGGGTGATTTTGGGGTATTTTCAGGGGTGTTTTCAGGGCTGGTTTTGGGCTGATTTCCCGTGGTTTTGGGTTGATTTTTGAGGATGATTTTGGGGTGGTTTTGGGCTGATTTCCCGTGTTTTTGGGGATGGTTTTGGGGGTGTTTTCAGGGATGTTTTTGGGTTGATTTCCTGTGGTTTTGGGGCTGTTTTTTGGGCTGTTTTTGGGTTGATTTCCTGTGGTTTTGGGGCTGTTTTTCGGGCTGTTTTTGGGCTGATTTCCTGTGGTTTTGGGGCTGTTTTTGGGGTATTTTCTGGGTGTTTTTGGGGCTGTTTTTGGGGATGATTTTGGGCTGATTTCCCGTGGTTTCGGGGATGATTTTGGGGTATTTTCTGGGTGTTTCTGGGCTGGTTTTGGGCTGATTTCCTGTGGTTTTTGGGCTGATTCCCCATGTTTTTGAGCTGTTTTTGGCTGATTCCCCATGTTTTTGGGCTGTTTTTGGGCTGTTTTGGGGCTGTTTTTTGGGCTGATTCCCCGTGTTTTTGGGGCTGTTTTTGGGCTGTTTTTTGGGCTGATTCCCCGTGTTTTTGGGGCTGTTTTTGGGACTGTTTTGGGGCTGGTTTTTGGGCTGTTTTTGGTTTGATTCCCCGTGTTTTTGGGGCTGTTTTTGGGACTGTTTTGGGGCTGTTTTTTGGGCTGATTCCCCGTGTTTTTGGGGCTGTTTTTGGGACTGTTTTGGGGCTGGTTTTTGGGCTGATTCCCCGTGGTTTTGGGGATGATTTTGGGGTATTTTCTGGGATGATTTTGGGGTATTTTCTGGGTGGTTTTGGGTTGGTTTCCCGTGGTTTTGGGGCTGTTTTTGGCTGACTCCCCCTGGTTTTGGCCCCCCAGGTGTGCGCCCTGCGGGTGACGCGCGGCGCCCGCTCGCGGATCCTCCGGGCCGGGGGCTCCATCCTCACCTTCGACCAGCTGGCCATGGCCACCCCCAAGGGCAAGGGCACCGTGCTGCTCTCAGGTGGGCAAAGACCCCTCCCCAAATTCACAAAAATCCCAAAATCCCCGTTAAATTATCCTGAATAACTTTAAAATAACATAGAAATAACCTCAGCCCTAAAGAACCCAAAATAACCCCAAAAAAAACCCAAAATTCCACCCCAAGGGCACCGTGCTGCTCTCAGGTGGGCACAGACCCCTCCCCAAATTCACAAAAATCCCAAAATCCCCGTTAAAATCGCTTAAACCACCCCAAAATAACCCCGAAATAACATCGGCCTTAAAAACCCCAAAATAATCCCCAAAAAACCCCAAAATTCCACCCCGAGGGCACCGTGCTGCTCTCAGGTGGGCACAGACCCCTCCCCAAATTCATCAAAATCCCAAAATCCCGGTTAAATTAACATAAACCACCCCAAAATAACCCTGAAATAACATCGGCCTTAAAAATCCCAAAATAACCCCAAAAAAAACCCCAAAATTCCACCCCAAGGGCACCGTGCTGCTCTCAGGTGGGCACAGACCCCTCCCCAAATCCCCCAAACCCCAAAAAATCCCCATTTTCCTCCCAAATCCCCATTTTTCCCCCTAAAATCCCATTTTATCCCCAAAATCCTCTTTTTTTTTTTCCCAAAATCCCCCTTTTTCCACCCACATTTCCTTTTTTTCCCAAAAATCTCCTTTTTTTGGCCAAAATCCTGTTCTTTTCCCCCAAATTCCCTTCCCCCCCCAATTCCCTTTTTGATCCAAAATCCCCCCTTTTTCCCCCCCAAATTCCTTTTTTCCCCCAAATTCC